CAGTGTGTTGAGGATGTAGGGCCGGATATGTGTGCCTAATATAGATGGGCTTCGGGAGTTGATTCTTGAGGAAGCCTACAGTTCGCGGTATTCCAATTCATCTGGGTGCCGCGAAGATGTACCAGGATTTGAGACAGCACTATTGGTGGAGGCGGATGAAGAAGGATATAGTTGGGTTTGTAGCTCAGTGTCTCAACTGTCAGCAGGTTAAGTATGAGCATCAGAGATCGGATGGCTTGCTTCAGAGATTAGACATTCCGGAGGGGAAGTGGGAGCGAATCACCATAGACTTTGTAGTTGGGCTCCCACGGACTTTGAGGAAATTTGATGCTATTTGGGTTATTGTGGATCGGCTGACCAAGTTCACGCACTTCATTCCAGTTGGTACTACTTACGCTTCAGAGCAGTTGGCTGAGATTTACATCCGAGATATTGTTCGCCTACATGGTGTCCCAGTTTCCATCATTTCAGATAGGGGTACTCAGTTCACATCACAGTTTTGGAGGGCTGTGCAGCGAGAGTTGGGTACCCAGGTTGAGTTGAGAACAACTTTTCATCCTCAGACGGACTGGCAGTCTGAGCGCACTATTCAGATATTGGAGGACATGTTGCGCGCTTGTGTTATTGAGTTTGGGGGTTCATGGGACCAGTTTCTGCCACTCATGGAGTTTGCATATAACACCAGTTATCAGTCGAGTATTCAGATGGCTCCGTACGAGGCTTTATATGGGAGGAAGTGTAGATCTCCGGTGGGATGGTTTGAGCTAGGTAAGTCTAGGCTCTTAGGTACAGACTTGGTCCAGGATGCATTAGATAAGGTGAAATTGATTCAGGAGTGGCTTCGCACGGTGCAGTCTAGGTAGAAGAGCTATGCGGATAGGAAGGTCCGTGATATGTCTTTTATGGTTGGGGAGAAGGTTTTGCTGAAGGTATCACCCATGAAGGGTTTTATGAGGTTTGGGAAGAGGGGCAAGTTGAGCCCCCAATTCATTGAGCCTTTTGTGGTGCTTCAGAGGATAGGGGAGGTGGCTTATAAACTTGCCTTGCCACCCAGCTTGTCGAGTGTTCACCTAGTGTTTCATGTTTCCATGCTCCGAAATTATATCGGAGATCCGTCCCATGGTTTGGACTTCAACACGGTTCAATTAGAGGGTGATATGACTTATGATGTGGAGCCGATGGCTATTTTGGATCGGCAGGTTCGAAGGTTGAGGTCAAAGGATATAGCTTCAGTGAAGGTGCAGTGGAGAGGTCAGCCTGTGGAGGAAGCCACCTGGGAGACCGAGCGGGAGATGCAGAGCAGATATCCACGCCTATTCGAGACTCCAGGTATGTTTCTAGACCCGTTCGAGGATGAACGGTTGTTTAAGATGGGGGATGTAACGACCCGGCCGGTCGTTTCGGGAGTTATAGCCTCGTTTTCCCCATTTCTATTTCCTTTATGCTCTTAAGCAATATTATGATATACCGGGTTAGTTGGTTCGGGTCCGGAGTGATTTCGGAGTGGAATGAGACACTTAGTCTCTTATTTAGAACCTTAAGTTGGAAAAGTCAACTGGATGTTGACCTATGTGTAAATGACCTCGGATTTGAATTCTGATGGTTCCGTTAGCTCCGTTAGGTGATTTTGGACTTAGGAGTGCGTCCGGAATATGATTTGGAGGTCCGTGGTAGAATTAGGCTTGAATTGGCGAAATTGGAAATTTGACAATTTCGGTCGGCAGTGGAAAATTGGATATTTGGGTTGGAATAGAATTTCGGAAGTTGGAGTAGGTTCATAGAGTCATTTGTGACGTGTGTGCAAAGTTTGAGGTCATTTGGACGTGGTTTGGTTGGTTTCGGCATCAGTTGCCGAATTTGGAAATTTAGAAGTTCTTAGGCTTGAATCCGAGGGTAATTTGGTGTTTGGATGTTGTTTTGAGTGATTCGAAGGTTCGACTAAGTTTTTATGTTGATATATAACTTGTTGGTATTTTTTGTTGAGGTCCCGAGGGCCTCAGGGTGATTCCGGGTGGTTAGCGGATTTGTCGAAGTTGGAATTTGTAGCTGAAGCTGCTGCTTCTGCTATTTTTGCACCTGCGGAAGGATGAGTCGCAGCTGCGAGGTCGCTGGTGCACAAATGGGGTTTCGCAGGTGCGGGCAATGCTGGGCTAGGCAGGTTGTGCAGGTGCGAGAAGGCTATCGCATCTGCGAGCCCGCAGGTGCGAGACCAGGGGCGCAGATGCAGAAGGAAGAAGAAGGCTGGCTTCGCAGATGCGGCACGCCTCGCGCAGGTGTGATGGGTTTGCCGCAGATGTGGATTCTGGGCGGATAAGTGAGTTGCGCAGGTGCGGCTCCTTGGACCGCAGGGGCGGTCGCGCGCGTGCGAGAAGCCTTGGCATAAGGTACATATTGCACACTTCGCGAATTTTGGTGCATTCTTCACCATTTCTATTCGGTTTTGGAGCTTTTGGGAGAGATTTGAAGAAGGAATCAAGGGGGTTTTCATTGAGGTAAGTTACTTGAGCCCTAATACTCATATATATGGTGATTTCCCATTGTTTAAACATGTAATTAGTGAAAATGAGGGGTTAGGGCTTCGAATTTTTGGAGGAGTAATTTAAGGATTTGAAGGACCAAACAATGTCGGATTTTTATGAATTTGATATGGTTAGACTCGCGAGTGAATGGGCTATCTAGTTTTGTAAATTTTGTCGGATTTTGAAATATGGGCCCGGGGGCCGGGTTTGAGCCAATTTCGGGTTTTGGTCTAATTTTGTAACTTTTCTTGTGGAATTCATTCCATTAGCGCGTATTGATGGTATTGTGCTGATTGTGAATAGATTTGGAGCATTTGGAGGCCGAGTCCATAGGCAAGAGCATTGCGGGGTAGAGATTTGACCGGTTTGAAGTAAGTAACGATTGTAAATCTAGTCCTGAGGGTATGAAACCCCGAATTTTATATCATTCTACTATTTTTAAGTGACGCACATACTAGATGACGGGTGTGTGGGCGTGCATTGTTGGGGATTATGACTTGGTCCATCTCGTAGAAACTGTAAAGTTATATATTTTGTTGAAACTATATGGTACTTATATGTTTTAGAAAGAATTTCTATAAATTGGGCTGAATGCCATGTTTGGGCCTTGTGCCAGTGCTGTTTGGACACTTAGGGGCCTTTTGCTTACTATCCTATCGCTGTTTTCAATTTATAATCTATACTCAGTCATGGCATACCTGTTTACTGCATAACTCAGTTTTCTTACTCTATTTGGATGCATACAAATAATGTTTTGGGTTGAGTACCCTGTTTTTACTAAAATACCCGAGTGGCTTAAGAGGTTTATGACTAAGTGAGGCCGAGGGCCTGATTTATGAGGATATTTATGTTGGATCGGGCTGCACGCCGCAGCATGTTTGATATAGGCCGAGGGCTTGAGTGATTTATGCCATGATTTGGCTTGATATAGCGCTTGGGCTGAAGGAGCCCCTCCGGAGTCTGTACACACCTCTAAGTGCGAGTGACTGGGAGGCATGAGTGATTGTGAGGTATGCCCGAGTGGCACGAGTGACTGTGAGATTTTGCCCGAGGGGCTATTTATGATTTCATCATTTTTGCTCACCTTTGCATTGAGCCTTTGTTTGAAAAACTGTTGAAAAATATCTTTAAATGATTTTTACTGGAACCGGGTTTAAACGAGAGGATTTGATTCAAACACTAATTTTTAACGCATGTTGTACTTTATTGAATTTTTGTGATATGAACTTGTTATGCTTTATTGATCTTCACTACTATTCAGTCTTTATTTATTATTATTACTTACTGAGTTGGCATACTCACGTTACTCCCTGCACCTTGTGTGCAGATTCAGGTGTAGCTGGACACGGTAGCAGTTGTTGATTATTCTGGTTGAAGATTTTTATTTCTCGGGGATAGCAAGGTAGCTGCTTGGCGACCGCAGTCCCTGCTCTTCTCCCTCTTATCTTCCTTTTGTTGTATTTAGCTATATTCCAGGCTGAGTTAGCCTTGATATTGTTAGACAGATTGTAGTAGATGCTCATGACTAGTGACACCCCGATGTCGGGCTTTTCTTTTCTGCACTTTTGTTTTCTTTGATTTGAACTCCTTAATGAAGATTTTATGTTAAATAGCATTGAAATTATCTTTGAAATGAAAATATCGGTTTGTTTGGAAATGAGTCGGCTTGCCTAGTTCCACAATAGGCGCCATCACGACAGGTTAGGTTTTTGGGTCATGACAAAACTAAAGTTGAAATTTTTTCAGCTCTCTTATCCACCAAATTTAAAAAATTTATGGACCAATAGGTGGAATACTTTGCTCATTCCTGAAGTAATTTCCTGGATCAACACTATATTTCACCCGAGCCAATTTCTCAAAATTACTTCCAAAATACATTTCACCCCAACTTTTTGCTTCTGAGTATTTCTCATTCCCATTTAATGTTTTTACCAAATCCAAATCTCTGCTATTTAGATAAGCTGTTCTTGGCTTAGAAACAAACTCCCCCATGTAATCATAAATCCCATTAATCCAATCCAATTTTGTCTGTTCTACAGTTTGGTTTGGTTTAAACCACATTGTAAAATATTGTATGTTATATAAATATCCCCTTTTATGTGAAAATGGAGTTGCATCCTCTAATATTTCACTCACTTTTCTACCATGAGGGGTGAATATCATAAGTACAAATCCTGAATTGAACACATTCCATAACCCTTCTAATGCTTTTTTTGATAGAGGCTTTGTTACATAGTCTGACTTGACTTTGTAAAATGTTGGTCTCTTGTCTTTCCTTTCTAACAAATCTTGAATTGTTGATCCATTCATGTAATGATCTATCCTTATTGTTGTATCAATCCAGCTCATTTCTTCACAATCCCTTGACTTTAATTTCAATTTCGGGAACTTCCTTCTCATTAATCTTCGACGTTGGCGTCTTGTCCCTAAATATAATGATTTAAATGTAGCCTCTATCGACGGTTGCCCTAAAGAGTTCTTTTAAGGGTTTATATTTATTCTTAGGAAAAGCTCTTTAGGGAATTCAATTACTAGCTTTTGCCATTTTCTAACAAGATTTGTTGCACCTTTTTCCTGAGTTCGAGCTATGGTGAAGAAAGTAACAACTGGGGGAATTTCGACTAATTGTAACTTCCAAGATAGAACCACCCCGAAACTAGCTGCACCACCACCCCGAATAACCCAAAATAGGTATTCGCCCATGCCACTACGATCAAGAATCGTACCATTAACATTCAGGATCGTTGCATCTAGCACGTTATCTGCTGCAAGACCGTATTTCCTCATCAATGGCCTTTGTCCACCACCACTAATATGACCTCCAACACCTACAGAAGGGAAAGTTTCAGCTGGTAAAGCTAGGGTTTTGCTTTTGTTTGCAATGTTGTAGTAAAGTTCCCCTAATGTTGCTCCAGCTTCCACCCAAGCAGTCTTTCCTTGCACATCAATGTCGATCCTTCTAAGGTTCGATAGGTCAACTTAGAAATATGGTTTGTAAGAAATGTAAGAAATACCTTCATAATCATGTCCACCACTTCTAACCCTAGTCTCAAATCCAGAAGTTTTGCAACAAATCATGGCTGCTCGCACTTGTTCTTTATTTTCTGGCACGATTACCAAGTAAGGTTTCGGAACATTGGGATTGTTGAACCTAGCATTATGTATCGAAGATTCGAGTATAGATTGGTAATTTTTTGACGATATAGTATGAACAAGGGAGAGGCAGCTATAGAAATTGGCATTGGCATCATCAAGTTTACGATGATATATAGAGCTGACTAAGAAAGGAAGAAAATATTGAACCAAGAGTAACCATTTCTAATCACTTTAATTTCTTACGTTTGATGATTCACGAAATAGAAATTTATTCCTCGTTTCTTATTTTAATACTAGAAATTTATTTGTAACTAATAATTAAGTTGCCTAAGGAAAAAGTTGATACTTTCATGGAACCTAATACGATTACATTAATAACCTTCTTAATTAAAACAAAAATTAATGCTGGTCTTTATTAATTTGATTATTTATTGGTTTTGTTTTGGGTAATAAAAAGAATCTTCAATTCCGTTTTACTTCTATGTACTGTGTGTATGAATCAATTAAATATTAGCTTGTTAAAGGACGACATATCAATTGATGTACAACTGACATTATATCATATAGTTTTATATTTATTCTTTTTGACTATTGAACAAACAAAATTTTCATTGGAAACTTTCTCCTTTTGGGTTTTGGAATTGTTTCCTTCCTACACAATATTTAAAATTTATTTACCGAAATTGTCCTAATTTTGTATATTACCTTCCCTAAACAAGGCTTACTTACAAATTATATACAATCAATTATTAGTGCCTTAAATTAGGGGATTTAATTACACCCTTTTCCTATTTTCTCTCCTCTCCTCTTTCCCTATTCACTGTCGCCTCTCTCATCAATGTTCCCTTCTTTCTTCATCACTCTCTCTCACCGTCTCTCTCTTAATAAAATTTATGAATGAAATTGTAGATATGGAATCGGTGGAAGATGGCACAACCGCACAATATATATATGGCTTGAGGAACGAAATGAGCAGTTCGTGGTTTTAGGGGGGAACTGCTCATTCTTGCACCTATAATCTCACTTGGGATACACTCTGTTGTTATTCTGGGTACTCAGAATTCAAACTTCAATCACGCAAATTTTAGAGCAAATACTATTCCCATCAAATTAAGAATTAAAGTTTTTTCTCCTTAATTTATCTCCTTTTTTTTCTTTATGGCGATGACTTGGGAGTTGAAAATAGACCTAGAAATTACAATTACCACCTTCATTCACAAGAAGACAACGATAAATATATGTAAGCAAATGTCAAGGACGAAATTGGTGTGTTATTGCATTACTGTGTGCTAAAGCATTTTACGTTTCCCGTTGCTCTAATTAATCTGAGTGTTGTTTCAGGTGCAGAACTTCGCAGTCTGCTCTTTGACTATCGTGCTTTTGAGTGTGTCCATGGTTTCAAGAAACTTGTAAAGTGCCCACAATAGTGAGAATCAAATAATTAGTTTTGCTTTCAGGAACCTTTTGAATTGTAATTTGGAGAGGTCATAGTATTGTATAAATCTACATAGCATATACGAATAATATAGATGTACGGCTCAAATCAGTTGTATACATTAGGCTAGCAAATATATACTGATATACATCCAGGTTATGTTGAACCACATATAAATTCTGACCTTATATATGAGAAAGTCACTTCTTTCTTTGCTTCAGTAATTATAGAACTATTATAAATCTCAAGCAGCAATTGTAGATTGTATTTGGAAGAACCATATATGGTACAATAACATACAAATTTAAAAATAAATTTCGTACAAATGTAATACAAATTGATATATCTATAACAAAATACATAGTAAAAATAAATTTCATACAACTAATTATATATTATACAACTTATTTACAACTTATCTACAACTTTCATACATTATTTCTGCCAGTTAAATACAACTACAATATCATACAACTTAAATATAATTTTTATACAATATGTCTTTTGTATATATTTTGTCTGTGGTGTGTGCTTCTTCCTCTCTAAAATTCCAATCAAAACTTACTCTCTTAATACAATTTTGATACATATCAACAACTTTATGCAAAAAGATAGTATTGATAACTTAAATACAAATTTTATACAACGATTCATATATTATACAACTATTTTTCAACTTTCATATAACATTCAAATAATAAAAAATATATATAACTACAACAGAATACAATTATAATACAACTTTACTACAATTTCGTAAGTATATTGTATGTCATGTGTTCTTCTTCTGAAATTCAGCCAAAATCAAGTCTAATCTTCACCAAAACACCCTCAAAATTGAGATATAAACTCCAAACAATATTCCCAATTGTTTGCAACAACACCCAATCCAAATAAATAATAGTTTTTGAAAATCCAAATTCGATTTCAAAGTTTCAAAGCTTTTTAATGGTTGTCAATGGTGGATAGTCAAACACATTCAAAATTTATTGATTGACAATTTGAATTTGAACACCAATTGTGCAACATGAAAGGAAATTACTAATTTAAAACGATTGAAATCCATTGATGAATTCTATTAAAACTCTATACAATAAGAAAGCATAAAAAATAGAGAATATCAAATGAAGAAAAAATGGGGGAAAAACAGAGAAGGAGAGAAGAGAGACGAAGAGAGAGAGAGAGAGAAAGAGAGGGCAAGTATAAAGGGATAAGGAAATAACTGATATTCCTTATTCAATTCCTAATATAAAGGGATACTCATATAAAACTTATTTGTATATAATTGGTAAATTGTATATGACCATGTAATTAAATTGAAACTTGAGTAGGGAGGGTAATTGTCACGACCCAAAATACAATAGTCGTAATGACACCTATCTCAATACTAGGTAAGTCGACAACCTCAATAAATACAATATCTTTTAAGTTTGAAAACATAATATTTGAATTCAATAGAAAAACCTCACAATTACAAATACAAATCACTCCCAAAACTCGGTGTCACTGAGTACATGAGCATCTAAATGATAACAAAATCTGAGTGATAAAATCCCTATCTGAAAATATAGAACAGTACAATAACTGAAAAGAAGAGAGTCAAGGTCAGCGGACACCAAGCAGCTACCTTGATAGTCTCCAATTGATAATACTCTGAGATCTAATAGTCGCCGTGTCCGAAAGCACCTGGATCTAAACACGAGGTGCAGAGTGAAGTATGAGTACAACCAACTCAATAAGTAACAAGACTAACCTTTGGGCTGAAAGTAGCGACGAGCTCAGCAGGTACAATCTAGTATAGAAATAACAGTACAGAAATGTAGGTGTAACGACTCGGCTAGTCGTTTTGAGTATTACAATCCCGTTCCCCCATTTACTGCTCAATTTATGCTTTACAGTTATTATGTGACTTTCTGGGGTGATTAGTTCGGGTCCGGTGAGATTTTGGAATGAATTGAAATACTTAGTTCCAAGATTTAAAGTTTAAATTAAAATAGTGACCGGATGTCAACTTAGGAATAGAGTTTTGATGATCCAATAGCTTCATATGGTTATTTTGGACTTAGGAGTGTGTCCGTAAAATTATTTGGAAGTCCGTAGTGGAATTAGGCATGAAATGGCGAAAGTTGAATTTTTGGGAAGTTAGACTGGGGAGTTGACTTTTTGATATTCGGGTTGGAATCCAGTTCTGAATATTTTTATAGCTCCATTATGTCATTTATGACTGTGTGCAAAATTTGAGGTAAATCAGAATTGATTTGATTGGTTTCAGCATCGAATGTAGATGTTGGAAATTATTAAGTTTCATTAAGCTCGAATTGGGGTATGATTCATGGTTTTGGCATTGTTTGATGTGATTTGAGGTTTAGACTAAGTTTGTATGATGTTTTAGGACTTGTTGGTGTATTTGGTTGAGGTCCCGAGGGCCTCGGGTGAGTTTTAAATGGTTAACAGATCAAAGTTTGGACTTAAACAACTGCTGGAATTTTCCTGATGCCTGTATCTAGTTTCCTTCATCCGTTCGCGATCGGGGGCAGCGACCGGGGGCACTCGTTCGCGACCAGGGGCAACGACCGGGGGCAGCGAACGGGGCACGTGCTCGCGATCGGGGGCAGCGACTGAGGGCACGTGCTCGTGATCAGGAGCAGCGACCGTGGGCACACGCTCGTGATCAGGGGCAACGACCGGGGAACACCTTCGCGACCGGGGGCACGCCTGGACAGAAACTTTAAGTTATAAAAAGGGGACTTCGTCCCATTTTCCATTTTTGACAATTGGAGCTTGGGGAGAGGCGACCTTTGAGTGATTTTCAAGGAAAAACATCGGGGTAAGTGATTATAACTCGGATTTGGTCATTATACACGAATATATAATTGTTTTCATCATTTAATTAGTGTTTTGAGATGGAAATTTGGGGAAAATTGTAGATATTTCATAAAATGAGTTTTTGCGATTTCGATATCGATTCGGAGTTGAATTTGAGTGAAACTAGTGTGGTTGGAATCGTAATTGAATGGGTTGTCGGATTTTATGAGTTTTGTTGGATTCCGAGACGTGGGCCCCAGGGGCGAGTTTTGGGTGAAATTTCAAATTTTGATGGAAAATTTGTATTTGCTAATGGAATTAATTCCTACAATTTTTATTTACTGAATCATATTATTTGTGGCTAGATTCGAGGCATTTGGAGGCCGATTCGTGAGGCAAAGACATTGCAGAATAAAGAATTACACGGTTTGAGGGAAGTAACAGTTCTAAATTTGGTCTTGAGGGTATGAAACCTCGGATTATGTGTTATGTGATTGATTTTGAGGTGACGCACATGCTAGGTGACTGGCGTGTGGGCGTGCACCATAGAAATTGTGACTTGGTCAAATTCTATGGAACTGTGTAGTTGAATAATCTGTTGTTATCTGTACATTCTCCATGTAGTAGAGAAATTGAACCACAAATCATGTTTAGATTATGTGTTGGCACTGTAGGGACCCACAGAGGTCGTGTACATGTTGAACTATCTGCTAAATTGTTGTTTTGTACTCAGTCACAGTTTACTTGTTTATTTTATCTCACTCTCTATTGTCCATTATTGGTGCATCATATCATTGTTGTGCGGGATGATTTTCATGATTTTTGAGAGCCCGAGAGACTAGAGAGATTTATGACTGAGTGAGGCCGAGGGCCTGATTGTGAGATATTATACTATAGCATATGAGTTGTTAGTGCAGCACATGAGTTGTTAGTGCGGATCCATATATTATACTATAGCACGTGAGTTGTCCGTGCAGATCCATATACTATACTATAGCACGTGAGTTGTCCGTGAAACATGTGAGTTGTCTGTGCAACACGTGAGTTGTCTGTGCAGATCCAGATATTGATACTATAGCATGTGAGTTGTCCGTGCGGATCATAGCGTTTGGGCTGTAGGAGCCCCTCTGGAGTCTGTACACACCCCCAGTGAGTGCATGTACCTACTGAGTGTGAGTGTTGAGTGCTGAGTGCTGAATGAATGGAATGGCTGAGTGACTGTGGTCCTGACAGGATGCATTTGATTTCATTACTGTTGTACTTCAGCTGTCATATATCACTTTTTTTGGAAATTTCTGAGAGATATTATCTTATGTTTCAGTTGAACTTGACATAAAATTACTGTTTTGGCCTTAAATGTTAAACTTGAAAGCATGCCTACCTTATTATGTTGGAAATTACAGAAATTGGGCTCAACTGTGAAGCTCGTCACTACTTTCAGTTCTTTATTTAGTATTATTACTTGCTGGGTTGGTTGTACTTATACTACACCCTGCACCTCGTGTACAGATCCAGGTGCTTCCGGATATGGCGACTGCTAGTTCTCGGAGTTATCTGTTGGAGATTATCGAGGTAGCTGCTTGACGTCCGTAGACCTTGACTCTCTTCTCTTTCAATTTTATACTGTTCTAAATTTTTAGACAGTATTTTTAGCAGTCATACTGGTTATCATTTAGATGCTCATATACGCAGTGACACCGGGTTTTGGGAGTGTATTTATATCCAGTATTTGTTGAATTTTCTCTTAAACTTCATTATTATGTTTTTAGTATTTAAAAGAGAAATGTGGGTTATTGATGTTGTCGTCTTGCATAGAATTGAAATAGGTGCCATCATGACAAGTGTAATTTTTAGGTCCTGACAAGTTGGTATCAGAGCCTAGGTTACATAGGTCTCACGAATCATGAGCAAATTTAGTAGAATTTTATGGATCGGTACGGAGACGTCTGTACTTATCTTTGAGAGGCTGTCGAACCCTTAGGAAAATTTCATCTTCTTGTATTCTATCATGCGAATTTGTTAATTCCAGAAACTAAATATTTGTTATTCTATTCTCTCACAGATGGTGAGGATACGTACTACCGGGTTAGATGGTCATACACCAGTGCCACCAGTTAGGGCCGCAAGAGGCTGGGGCCGTGGTAGAGTCCGAGGCCGAGGTAGAGGTAGAGGTGCAACTCGTACAACAGTTGGAGCAGCACCTGTAGCACCACCAGTTGCTCCAGCTTAGGAGCATATTCTAGATATAGCTGAGCCGACAGGACCAGCTCAGGAACCAGCTGCACCTATTATGATTCCAAGCCTTCAAGAGACACTAGCACATATATTGACAGTTTACACTAGTCTTGCTCAGGTGGTTTAGGCTCAGGCCGTACCTGCCACTTCTCAGGACGGGGGAGGTAACCATACCCCTGTTGCTCGTACTCAAGATCAGGTAGTGCAGGGACTTTATATACCATGGCACTACCAGTCCAGCCAGTTGCAGCTGCTCAGGCCCCTGTAGTCCCTGTTATGACAGATGATGAGCAGAGGAGACTTGAGAGATTCGAGAGGCTTCGAGCTCCATCATTTAGCGGTGCTGATTCTTAGGATGCTAAGGATTTTCTGGATAAGTGCCAGCGGATGCTTCAGACAACGGGTATTCTGGAGATCAGTGAGGTCTCGTTCACTACTTTTCAGTTTTCTGGGGCTGCCTTCAGATGGTGGGAGGCTTATGAGCGGCGCATGCCGATCAGTACAGCACCACTTACATGGCAGGAATTCTCCGTTCTCTTTTTGGAGAAGTTTGTACCGCAGTCTTATAGAGAGGAGCTGTGCTGACAGTTTGAGCAGTTATGTCACGATGGCATGTCTGTGACGCAGTACGAGATGAGATTTTCTGAGTTGGCTCATCATGAAGTTTGGTTGGTTTCCTCCGATAGGGAAAGGACTAGGAGGCTCATTGATGGCCTCACGTTTCAGCTGCGGTTGCTTATGACTAGGGAGAGGGTATCTGGTGCCACTTTTGACGAGGTGGTTAGCATTGCTCGGAAGATAGAGGTGGTCCGTAGCTAGGAGCGTAGTGATAGGGATGCCAAGAGGCCTCGAGGTTCGGGTGGTTTTGGTGGGATACCTTCGGGGGGACAGTCCTACCATAGAAGGGGTCGCCCTTATAGGCCCTCTCAGATGACTCGTCCAGCTCACCGTGGTGCATCAACTAGCCACGGTTCTTACAGTGCTCACTCAGGACAATCTTCATTCAGTGCACTACCAGCGTAGAGTTCTCACCATGCCTCATCCACTCAGGCTTATACAGGTAATTCCTCGGGTTATCAGGGGAAGCAGTTCCGTCAGAGGAGGGGTTGTTTCGAGTGTGGGGAATTTGGTCATTCAAGTGAAATTGTCCTAGTTTGTTGAGTGGGGCTCCATAGGAGAGTTCTCGGCCAACGACACTAGCACCAGCAGTTACACCACCCGCCCAGCCAGTTCGGGGTGGGGCTCAACTAGTTAGGGGTCGCCCAAGAGGGGGAGGCCGATCAGGTGGCTGTCAGGCATGATTCTATGCTTTTCCTGCCAGGCCAGATGCTGTTGCTTCAGATGCAGTGATTACAATTATTGTCTCAGTGTGCCATAGGGAAGCTTCTATATTATTTGACCCTATTTCTACTTATTTGTATGTATCATCATAGTTTACTCATTATCTGGATATGCCCCGTGAGTCCTTGGTTTCACCTGTTCATGTATCTACGTCGGTGGGCAATACTATTATTGTGGACCGTGTGTATCGTCCATGTGTGGTAACTATTGGGGGACTAGATACTAGAGCTGATCTCTTATTGTTTATTATGGTTGATTTCGATGTAATCTTGGGTATGGATTGGTTGTCTCCATGTCATGCTATTCTGGAATGTCACGCAAAAACCGTAACTTTAGCGATGCCGGGTTTGCCGAAGGTTGAATGGAGAAGTTCTCTAGATTATGTTCCCAGTAGGGTAATTTCTTATTTGAAGGCCCAACATATGGTTGGGAAGTGGTGTTTGTTATATTTGACCTTTGTGAGAGATGTTGATGCAGATACTCCTACTATTGATTCAGTACCGGCAGTGCGAGACTTTCCGGATGTATTTCCTGCAGACCTGCCGGGTATGCCAACCAACAAGGATATTGATTTCAGTATTGACTTGGTGTTGGGCACTCATCCCATTTCTATCCCTCCATATCATATGACACCGGCTGAGTTAAAAGAATTGAAAGAGCAATTTCAGGAACTTTTTGATAAGGGGTTTATTAGGCCTAGTATATCACCTTGGGGTGCACCGTTTTGTTTGTGAAAAAGAAAGATAGTACTATGTGGATGTGCATCGATTACAGAGAATTGAACAAAGTTACAATCAAAAACAAATATCCTTTGCCGCGTATTGATGATTTATTTGACCAACTTCAGGGAGCGATTTTATTCTCCAAAATTGATTTGTGATCAGGGTATCACCAGTTGAAAATTCGGGATTCGGATTTTCTAAAGATGGTATTCAGGACTCGTTATGGCCACTATGAATTTATCGTGATGTCTTTTGGGTTGACCAATGCCACAACAACATTTATGCACTTGATGAATAGTGTATTTCCACCATATCTTGATTTATTTGTCATAGTATTTATTGATGATATCCTAGTGTACTCACATAGCTAGAAGGAGCATGTACAACACTTGGGTATTGTATTACAGAGGCTAAGAGATGAGAGACTTTATGCCAAATTCTCTAAGTGTGAGTTCTGGCTTAGTTCGGTGGCATTCTTGGGACATATAGTGTCCACTAAAGGAATTAAGTTGGATCCGAAGAAGATAGAGGCAGTTCAGAGTTGGCCCAGGACATTTTCAGCTACCAAGATTCAGAGTTTTCTCGGCTTGGCTGGTTATTGTCGTCACTTCATGGAGGGTTTCTCGTCTATTGCGGCGCCTATGACTAAATTGACCTAGAAAGGTGCTCCGTTCAAGTGGTCGGATGAGTGTGAAGAGAGCTTTCAGAAGCTTAAGATAGCTTTGACTACAACCCTAGTATTGGTGTTGCCTACAGGTTCAGGGTCTTATACTGTGTATTGTGATGCGTTGCGTATTTGTCTCAGCGCAGTGCTGATGCAAGATAGTAGGGTGATTGCCTATGCGTCCAGACAATTAAAGGTACATGAGAAGAATTATCCGGTCCACATCCTTGAGTTAGCAGCTATTGTTCATGCCTTGAAGATTTGGCGACATTATTTGTACGGTGTCCATTGTGAGGTTTATACTGATCACCAGAGTCTACAAAATTTGTTTAAACAGAAGGATCTTAATTTGCGGCATAAGATGTGGTTGGAGTTGCTTAAGGATTATGATATCACCATTCTTTATCATCCCGGAAAGGCTAATGTGGTGGACGATGCCTTGAGTCATAGGGCGGAGAGTTTGGGCAGCTTAGCATACTTACCGGTAGCAGAGAGGCCTTTAGCGTTGGATGTTCAGGCCTTGGCCAACCAGTTTGTCAGATTGGATATTTCCGATCCGAGCTGAGTTTTGGCTAGTGTGGTTTCTCAATCTTTTCTTTATGATCGTATCAGAGAATGTCAGTATGATGACCCTCATCTGCTTGTCCTTACGGACACGATTCTGCACGGTGTTGCCAAGGAAGTCACTATTGGGGATGACGGTGTATTACGGATGCAAGGTAGGCTATGTGTGCCTAATGTAGATGGTTTGCGTGAGTTGATTCTCCAGGAGGCTCACAGTTAGCGGTACTCCATTCATCCAGGTGCCGCGAAAATGTATCAGGATTTGAGGCAGCACTATTGGCGGAGACGAATGAAGAAAGATATAGTTTGGTTTGTAGCTCGGTGTTTAAATTATCAACAGGTGAAGTACGAGTATCAGAGACCAGGCGGATTTCTTCAGAGACTTGAAATTCCGGAGTGGAAGTGGGAGTGTATTACCATGTACTTCGTAGTTGGGCTCCCACGGACTTTGAGAAAGTTTGATATTGTTTGGGTGATGGTAGATCGGTTGACCAACTCCGCGCATTTTATTCCAGTTGGGACTACTTATTCTTCGGAGCGGTTGGCTGAGATTTATATCTGCGAGGTTGTTCACCTACACGGTGTGCCAGTGTCCATCATTTCAGATCGTGGCACACAGTTCACATCACAGTTTTGGAGAGTAGTGCAGTGAGAATTAGGTACACAAATTCAGCTAAGTACAATATTTCACCCTCAGACGGACGGACAGTCCGAGCGCACTATTCAGATATTGGAGGATATGCTACGCGCTTGTGTCATTGATTTTGGGGGTTCTTGGGATCAATTCCTGCCACTGGCAGAGTTTGCTTACAATAATAGCTACCAATCGAGCATTCAGATGGCTTCGTATGAGGCATTATATGGGAGACGTTGTTGGTCTCTGGTGGGTTGGTTTGAGCTGGGTGAGACTAGGCTATTGGTTACTTATTTGGTTCAGGATGCTTTAGAGAAGGTTAAATTGATTCAGGAGCGGCTTCGCTCGGCGCAGTCTAGATAGCAGAGTTATGCCGACTGGAAGGTGTGTGATGTTGCTTACATGGTTGGGGAGAAGAATCTGCTCAAGATTTCACCCATGAAAAGTGTGTTGAGGTTCGAGAAGAAGGGCAAGTTGAGCCCTCGATATATTGGGCCGTTTTAGGTGCTTAAGAAGATTGGAGAGGTGGCTTATGGACATGAAATATGCTTAAGTCATTCGACTTATGATGTGGAGCTGGTGGCCATTTTAGATTGGCAGATTCAAAAGTTGAGATCAAAGAACATAGCTTCAGTGAAAGTGCAGTAGAGAGGCCAACCAGTCTGAGAAGCTACTTGGGAGACTGAGCGAGAGATGCGGAGCAAATATCCACACCTATTTGAGACTCCAGGTATAATTCTAAACCCGTTCGAGGACGAACGTTTGTTTAAGAGGGGAGAATGTAATGACCCAGCCGGTCCTTTTGAGTATTATAACCTCGTTCCCCCATTTACTGCTCAATATATGCTTTACATTTGTTATGTGTCTTGTCGGGGTGATTAGTTTGGGTCCGGTGAGGTTTTGGAATGAATTGGAACACTTAGTTCCAAAGTTTAAAGTTTAAGTTGAAATAGTGACCGGATGTCGGATTATGTGTAAACGACACCGGAATAGAGTTTTGATGATTCTAATAGCTCCATATGATGATTTTGGACTTAGGAGGGTGTCCGAAAAATTATTTGGAAGTCCGTAGTGGAAGTAAGCTTGAAATGACGAAAGTTGAATTTTTGGGATGTTTGACCAGGGAGTTGACTTTTTGATATCGGAGTTGGAATCCAGTTCTTAAAATTTTCATAGCTCCGTTATGTCATTTATGACTTGTGTGCACAATTTGACGTCAATCGGAATTGATTTGATTGGTTTCGGCATCAAATGTAGAAGTTGGAAATTCTTAAGTTTCATTAAGTTTGAATTGGGGTA